ACATGAAAATTTCACTGAATGTTTATATTAGCATTTCCTATACACCATACAATTTTGAAAATATTTTGACTCTTTTTGAGCTGTTTATGGACATTTACAGCTTTCAATTTTTTTTAGTTTTTTTTTCTATAAATATCAATAAAGTTTTATCTGTTGGGCCAAAAAGTGTAAAAATTTAATACAAGGCTCCTGATATATTGTTACAATAGCAGTTGAAAAATATTAAAAATACATAGGCACAGTTTTTTTTTATAAGCATTTAAATATCAGATTTTGACAAAATTTATCAAAATCTCGAAAATTATCAATCATTGAAATTAATAAATTATAAAATGTTCAGTTTTTATAGCTAAGGATTGCAAATTTAAAACAAAGGTTCTCATAAATAGTTCATACTGTAACCAAAAAATCTAAAAAATATATGAACACAGTTATTTTTTACAGACATTTTAAATTCAAATTTGGACGAAATTACATATTAAAAAACCTAGAATAACTATTTTAGTTATTTTGTTGTGATTGAATAATATTATTCGTGGGTACTTGAAACTTCTAAAGTGTACTATTATATATCTATGATAGTATCACGGTTTTTGTTGATGTATAACGCGTTATAAGTAAATAATGGACATTGTGATATGATTAATTTGGAATTTATTATAGGTACCTATTATAGGTCAATTTTTTGTTTTATAAGACATATTATATACATATATAATATGTCTTATACATAGACTGACATACCGTCTCCGCTCAGAATCGTTTTTCTTATACAATGATATTATATCGTTGAATTCAAATTTAATATCATCCATTATACAGTGACCCACTTGTAACCTACTGTACAGCAGAGCGACATCCACTTACCCACCTTTTTTTTATATTTTTTTTTGTGTCTGTCATCACGTTTTGGGACAGTAAAAGTGCTTCGATTTTCTTCAATAGTACCTTTTCTGATAGGAAAGTGAATCTAGTTGGTACTTTGGGGGGGGTCAAAAGTAAACATTTTCCAGTAGTTTTCACAAGAGCCGGGAAAAACAACATAAAAATTAAGGAAAAACGGGAATTTTTACGCAAAATCGATTTTCCAAAAAATCGAATTTGGTTTTTGGTGTAACTTTAAAACAAATTACCGTAGATACATGAAATTTTCACTGGTTGTTTATATTTGCATTTTTTATACACGATAACATTTTCAAAATATTTTGATTTATTTTGAACTGTTTAGGGACATTTTCATTTTTCATTTTTTTTTAGTTTTTTTTCTAGAAATATCAATAAAATTTTATTTGTTGGTTGCGAAAGCTTGAAATTTTAATAGAAGGCTCCTAATATGTTGTTTTAAAGGCAGATGAAAAATATTAAAAATCCTTAGTCACAATTTTTTTTTATAAGCATTTAAAGTTCAAAAATTGACAAAATATGGAAAAATCACGAAAATTAGCAAATTATTTTGAGTTAAGAATTCGTAAAAATTTTTCTTTTTAAATCTAAGATTTGAAAATTAAAAACAAGATTCCTTATAAGATTATCTACCTTTATCAAAAAAAAAATGTCTATAAGAAAGTCAAATTAAATTTTTATGAGCATTTGAAATTCAAATTTTTACAACATTGAATATTCACTCGATTTCCCATGTAGCGATTTCCTTATTTTGTTGTAATTCAAAAACATATAACTGTAGATACATGAAAATTTCACTGAATGTTTATATTAGCATTTCCTATACACCATACAATTTTGAAAATATTTTGACTCTTTTTGAGCTGTTTATGGACATTTACAGCTTTCAATTTTTTTTAGTTTTTTTTTCTATAAATATCAATAAAGTTTTATCTGTTGGGCCAAAAAGTGTAAAAATTTAATACAAGGCTCCTGATATATTGTTACAATAGCAGTTGAAAAATATTAAAAATACATAGGCACAGTTTTTTTTTATAAGCATTTAAATATCAGATTTTGACAAAATTTATCAAAATCTCGAAAATTATCAATCATTGAAATTAATAAATTATAAAATGTTCAGTTTTTATAGCTAAGGATTGCAAATTTAAAACAAAGGTTCTCATAAATAGTTCATACTGTAACCAAAAAATCTAAAAAATATATGAACACAGTTATTTTTTACAGACATTTTAAATTCAAATTTGGACGAAATTACATATTAAAAAACCTAGAATAACTATTTTAGTTATTTTGTTGTGATTGAATAATATTATTCGTGGGTACTTGAAACTTCTAAAGTTTACTATTATATATCTATGATAGTATCACGGTTTTTGTTGATGTATAACGCGTTATAAGTAAATAATGGACATTGTGATATGATTAATTTGGAATTTATTATAGGTACCTATTATAGGTCAATTTTTTGTTTTATAAGACATATTATATACATATATAATATGTCTTATACATAGACTGACATACCGTCTCCGCTCAGAATCGTTTTTCTTATACAATGATATTATATCGTTGAATTCAAATTTAATATCATCCATTATACAGTGACCCACTTGTAACCTACTGTACAGCAGAGCGACATCCACTTACCCACCTTTTTTTTATATTTTTTTTTGTGTCTGTCATCACGTTTTGGGACAGTAAAAGTGCTTCGATTTTCTTCAATAGTACCTTTCTGATAGGAAAGTGAATCTAGTTGGTACTTTGGGGGGTCAAAAGTAAACATTTTCCAGTAGTTTTCACAAGCGCCGGGAAAAACAACATAAAAATTAAGGAAAAACGGGAATTTTTACGCAAAATCGATTTTCCAAAAAATCGAATTTGGTTATTGGTGTAACTTTAAAACAAATGACCGTAGATACATGAAATTTTCACTGGTTGTTTATATTTGCATTTTCTATACACGATAACATTTTCAAAATATTTTGATTTATTTTGAACTGTTTAGGGACATTTTCATTTTTCATTTTATTTTAGTTTTTTTTCTAGAAATATCAATAAAATTTTATTTGTTGGTTGCGAAAGCTTGAAAATTTAATAGAAGGCTCCTAATATGTTGTTTCAAAGGCAGATGAAAAATATTAAAAATCCTTAGTCAGAATTTTTTTTTATAAGCATTTAAAGTTCAAAAATTGACAAAATATGGAAAAATCACGAAAATTAGCAAATTATTTTGAGTTAAGAATTCGTAAAAATTTTTCTTTTTAAATCTAAGATTTGAAAATGAAACACAAGATTCCTTATAAGATTATCTACCTTTATCAATAAAAAAATCTCTACCGGACAGTCAAGTTAAATTTTTATGAGCGTTTGAAATTCAAATTTTTACAACATTGGATATTCACTCGATTACTCATGTAGCGATTTCTTTATTTTGTTGCAATTCAAAAACGAACAACTGTAGGTACATGAAAATTTCACTGAATGTTTAGATTAGCATTTTCTATACACCATACAATTTTGAAAATATTTTGACTCTTTTTGAGCTGTTTATGGACATTTACAGCTTTCAATTTTTTTAGTTTTTTTTTCTATAAATATCAATAAAGTTTTATCTGTTGGGCCAAAAAGTGTAAAAATTTAATACAAGGCTCCTGATATATTGTTACAATATCAGTTGAAAAATATTAAAAATACATAGGCACGATTTTTTTTATAAGCATTTAAAGTTGGAATTTTGACAAAATTTATCAAAATCTCGAAAATTATCAATCGTTGGAATTAAAAAATTATAAAATGTTCAGTTTTTATAACTAAGAGTTGAAAATTTAAAACAAAGATTCTCTTAAATAATTCATACTGTAACCAAAAAATCTAAAAAATATATAAACACACTTATTTTTTACAGACATTTTAATTTCAAATTTAGACAAAATTTCATATTTAAACCAAGAATTACGATTTTAGTTATTTTGTTGTGATTGAATAATACTATTCGTGGGTACTTGAAACTTCTAAAGTGTACTATTATATATCTATGATAGTATCACGGTTTTTGTTGATGTATAACGCGTTATAAGTATCTAATGGATATTGTGATATGATTAATTTGGAATTTATTATAGGTACCTATTATAGGTCAATTTTTTGTTTAATACCATAGATATGTATATAATATGCCTTATACATAGACTGACATACCATCACCGCTCAGAATCGTTTTTCTTATACAATGATATTATATCATTGAATTCAAATTTAATACCATCCATTATACAGTGACCCACTTGTAACCTACTGTACAGCAGAGCGACACCCACTTGCCCACCTTTTTTTCAGTTAAAAATGCATAAAAGTTGTTCTTTTCATAGTTAACATTAAAAATTTTAAGAGAAGGATTTCAAAAAGTTTTTCTACTTCTAACAAAAAGAAAAAGTTTACCGGAAAGTTACTCTATTTAAAGTCAAAAGATATTTTCGATTTTTTTTTATATTTTTTTTAACTTTTAAATTTGATTATTTATACAAATATTGAAGTATGCTAGGCTGACCCAACGTGTCCACTCAGAATCGAATTTCGTATACAATGATTTATCATTGAATACAAATATAGATTACAACGGTATGCTCGACAACTACCGTACAGCAGAGGGGTACCCACTTGTCCACCTTTTTAATTATTCAATTTACTTAGTCAAGGTAATTGTTTAATCAACTTAATAAATAAACTAGTTAGAGTATCCATTCTAACGACTTGGCTTTTTGCAGTTAATTTAAAAATAATAGGTTAAACAAAATCCATGTTTATACATTTATTTAATTATCTTTAACTGTACTTTAAAGTTATTAATTAATTATATTTTTGTTTTATCACTCTGTGTTAAATGATAATATGAATATAGAATATTTTGTTTGTGAAGGGTTGAATAATAAATTTAATGGGAACAAGCTCCACTGATGTATGTGTATCATGCTTATGGCCCTTTTAATTTTTATTCGGCCAAATAAAACAGGAACAGGCCACGCGGCTGCACCCTATTCTAAGTAATTGTTTTTTTTCACTGGATTTAAAACTGATCCCGTTCTTTTTTTTGACAGGCGGCGCCGCAGACGTAGCGTTGGCGGTGGCAACCAAACCGACGAAGTGGTATTCCAGGAGATCCGCATAGAGGACAAGTTCAAATTCGAAGCCCAACGGGGCGAGCCTGGCCACGAGATCAACTTCTCCGGCAGCAGCGGCACCTCCACCTCCACCAGCACAACAGGCGACCAGAACACCTTATACTGGAACACGTACGCGTTCGCCCTGATGCTGGTCGCGTTCGTCGTGCTCCAGCTGTTTGTCATATTCGCGTGCTGGCTGTGCGCCACGTACAGCAGGTCGCGGGGCAACCGCGAGGCCGCCTCTATATATGAATCGGCCGTCAGCGAGTACGCCTCCACCGTCCGGACACCGATATCCTGGGACAACAGTTATTATAAATGATTTTCAGCCGTCACCGGACATCAATTACCGATTATACTATAATATAATATATACTTAGGTATTGTGTATGTCGAAAACGTATCCACTTAATGTAGGTTACGTAATATTATTATAATTTATTGTTGTAAATTAAATTAAACTACGTCCCCAGAACGAGTATTGGGTGACGTGGTGCCGGGGAGAGGGTCGTATGCGGAGGGTCACGATCAACACCGCAACGGAAACTCTGTAGTTTGTTGTCTTCTTATTATGTACTTGGTATACTATGTCATGTTACATATTATATATTATAGGAGGTGCCGTGGTTATTACATTTCGGAATTTCTCGGTGGATGATCTGATACGGATGTAGGTATAGGTACCTATCTATAGATTCTATATTAAATCACCTATTATTATATTGTAAGATTTTTTTAAAATTATTTTATGGGCGTGACTAAACAATAGTTAAATATAAGTTAATAAACATAAGTTTATCCTCCCTATTTAACTTCTTTAAATATACCAATAAGGATGCCACATGTCCATAATATTGTGATCCACTACAGAGTCTATAATCATTAATTCCACCTAAAAACTCATAAAAAGACTAGAAGTTTGGCAGTGCATGTATTTTTTGTTTTTCGATTACACTATATCGTATATATTACTAATACAAAATATAGATGATTGTTCTCAAAACCTTTCCTTTTGTGTATTGTGTGTTTGAAACTTGAACATCTTTATTTGTTTTAGTGAAAAAATAATAATCTTATTGCTCAGGCAAAGTTCTACTCTTTTGGTTATTTTTGTCATACAATTTAGAATTATAATCTAATATTATAACATTATCGGATAATTCTGTTGTAAAAGAATTTTTTCCTTATATAATTTCGTAATTTATGACCAACATTAGTATAGCCGTGGGAAAATTCGTGTAAGTTTTTCAATTAGTATTTAAATAATATATTAGTATCCATTTTTTTTTTTATTTCGTTAAAATGTGTTTTCTTAAGAGGACGCTACCCATGCATTTGTCGTCTCCGTCTTACACACGCACGAGTGCACGACATTACAAATTTCCATTCGCTAGTTTAAATAGTGCGTTGTTAGTTTTGATATTAGAGTGAATTGACCTATTATCATACTTTTAGGTAAGATTATTATCTGGCGATTTTTCAATATTTTCATTTTAAAGTAAGATATGTGTATGTGAAATATCAAAAACTGAAAATGCTCATATCTCGCTTGAAAATTAAAATATCGAATAAAATCCAACGCTTAAGCACAAATAACATAGGCGCAACTAGGGGGGTGCTTGGGGGTGCTTTAGCACCCCCAAACTTTAATTTAGCACCCCAAGTTCAAAAACAGCAAAAATTGAAAGATCATATATGAAAAAAATAGTTTTTTTTAACTTAACTTAATGTTTTTTTTTTATTTCTTCGTTTTTAGCAGAAACACAAATTATTGTTTGTAATGATTATAGGTACCTATATCAAATATTAGAATTTAGAATTCTTCAATTTTTTTTGGAAATTTTCTGTTAGAAATTTATAAAAGTTTTTCCTTTCATAGCTAACATTATAAATGTTGATAGAAGACTCCTCACAATTGGTACTATCTTAAATAAAAAAAAAAGTTTTCTGGAAAGTAACATACATTTTTTATGAGCGTTTGAATCTAAAATGTGTACAACATTGAACTTTCAATTTTATCAGTAAATTAACGAAATGAATAACCGTAGACTCTTGAAATGTTCACCAAATATGTATATTAGCATTTTCCATACATCGAAAATTCTTTAAACACTTTTGAATTTTTATGAACTATTTATGAGAAAATTTTTCAAATTGAATTCAAATATAACACATCCACTACAACGACATTCTCAACAACTATTGTACAGAAAAGCGGTACCCACTTAACCACATTTTTTTTATCCATTTATACGTCCAGGTTACTATTTTTATCACCTAAATAATACACCTCATGTATTCATCAGGTATATTACTGTTGATTTACTTAAATATTAGTGTCCTTATGTGTTCATGGTGCATTTACGAATGGTTATAAACTTATAGTAATTATAAAATCAAAGTATGACGTATGTTATTTTGGGGTGTGGGGGCGTAGCCCCCGCGGGTTTGTGTTCTCTACTTAATTTTAGCACATCCAGTGTTTGGCCTCTAGTTGCGCCTATGACAAGTAATGTTATTATCTAAACATTTTATTCACTCTAAGTATCAAAACTAACAGCATACTATTGAAACTAGTGAACGACAATTTGCTATGTCGTTATTGTATAAGACGGAGACAACAAATGTATGGTAGCGTCCTCTTAAGGTTTTCAATTGATTTTTACGTTCACTAGCTTCTATCTATGTAACTTCATTATTACTTTATTCGTAAGTATTAAACTGTAGTCTGCGTATGGATGGAGTACTCCCTTCATTTAAGTACGTCACTGAAATTTTATTTGTGATTGAATGATTGAATAATAATTGACATTATGATTGAATAAGTATATATTATTACTTAATAGTTAATAGGTTATCTAGTTATCTTAATAATATTATTCATAAAAACTTTAATTCTTCTTAGTTATAGATTATTATTTTTTTTATACTTCAAGGTAATGGGTCCCACTGAAAACGTTTCAATTATTTAATATTTTTATTTTTTACTCGCTTTGTGTTACGCCACTGACATTGACTACTTACACAATATATACCTAGGTAGCTATTTGGACATCTACACAAGTACGAGTACAAGTAGTATAGTAGTAGTTCTTAGTATTGCTTGAAATTATATTTATAATATATACTAAGCATTTGCATGATAGGTAGGTACCTATAACATACTGTACTATGTGCGCTTAATATAATAATTAAAAATATTGTTGTAATATTTACCAACGATAAAACCGAGTTCCAGAAAATCACGTTTTATACTTTTATAAATTATATTATTCTACCCACTTACTATTTAGCTATAATTTTATCCCACCTCTGTAAATTGTATGAAATAAAATTCAATACCTAGTCAGGTAAATCTAATTTCTGTAACACTAGGTTTAGGTTTAGTATATCAAATTGTATTATAATTACATATACCTACTTGGTTAATTTATTGGTTTGTTTTATTTTATTTTATAAACTATTTAAATATATTTAAATCTTAAATGTATTCGATCTACGTATGTGGCGTATCCATTGCGAACGTTAGATTATGATCGCTTATTAGATATCATTAGCGGAAACCACTTGAGAAAAAATTGTGTAGTATTAGATATTTGAATACCAACACAAGTATAACTATTTGTTTAAATGATACTAAGACAATCCATGATAAATTGTTTACATATCCTTTAAAATAATTGTGTAGGATTTTTAAGTATTTGTTTATTGTAATCAACTATTTATCGTTTTTTATTATATATGTATATTATATATATATATTCTTGAAATATCATTTATATTTGTAATTTAAATTTTTAATTCAAGAAATATATATCTCTTATATAGTTTTATAAAACTTGATATTATAGAACTCGGTTTTCACGAATGCCTTTATCTTTAAAATTAGGTATTACTAGTTAGTATAGTTACTACTAAATCTAATTTTAAGGTATAAGCATGTATAATTTACCTAATTATTTATTAATTTTATTTATGTGTTAAAAATAATTATTAATGTTTAAAGAATTGTAAAGTATCTATTTATTCAAATAGGTATATCAATATAATAATGAACTTTGTATAGTTCATGGTATCTGCATTGGTCAATTATTTAAGGGGGATAACTAATAATAGTTGATTAAATAAGGTGTATAACTAATTAATGTAAATCATTATATTACATAACGATGTTCATAAATTCTAATTTAATTAATTTACCTATGTTTTTGCATTTACCATAAGAATTGAGCTATGGTAGGTATGTTAAATTAATATAAGGGAGAGGCTGACATACATATTTTGATATACTTACTTAATTAAAATTTATAAAACAGATAGATACCTAGGTATTTCAATATTGTTGTTAATATAATAATAATAAATATAAATACAATTTATCTGTAATAAATAATATTTTATTAAAAATATAGCCTGCTTGTAATTTGTATTTAATTTTTTCATTTACAATATAATGGAAACTCGCTGCAATTATTCTCTTCCCTAAACCTAACAAACTTATAGATAACCCCTAAGGCCTATTAGTTTGCTACCTTTCTTTGCAAAACTCTCAGAAAAACTAATACTAAACAGAATATTTCCAATCATCAAGGAAAAAAAACTAATTCTTGACACGCAATTTGGATTTAGAAAATATCACTAACCATCCACCAAATACACCGACTAGCCGATACCATTGCCTGTTCTCTGGAAAAGAAAGTTTACACTTCTGCAGTATTTCTCGATGTTGCACAGGCCTTTGACAAGGTCGATTACCCCAAAAGTCTTTCAAACTAAAATCATTCCTACCCCCTTCATATTACCTTTTCTTAAAATCATACCTTAATGAACTCTACTTCCTTGTTAGGTCAGGAACCGAACACTCCAGCATATCCTCAATACTAGCCGGCGTTACTCAAGGTGCAGTCCTTTCACCAACTCTTTTTAATCTATATTCGGCTGACCAACCAACCAATCTGAATACTCAAATAGACGAATATGCAGACTGCAAATATATGCAGTATATTATGCAATATATGCCACCCACACCGAACCTGATTTAGTCTCATCTATTCTCCAAAGCCACCTGAATGACTTATCACAGTGGTACTCTCTCTGCTGTGTCAAAATTAATGAAAACAAATCTACACATACCACTTTTGATCTACATCGCAGACAACCTCCTTCGGTACTAGTATTTAGGTAGTATTTAGGAATCACCTTCAAAATCACACCAATCCCCATATGAAAAAGCTACTATCTATCTCCATCCCAGGAAATCCTCCCAGAAGACTCAAACGACAATGGCCCCGTAAACATAATATGAATATCTAATACCCAAAT